ATTCATATTGAATCTTATTAGTAAGGAACAAATATTGGCTTGAAAAAACGTATATCATGCCTAGGCTTAGAGAAATTATAACATCTTTTGTTTCTTTTGCCCCATTTCACCCCCCCATTTCCTACAGTAACATCCTCAACCTAGTAACTTGAGTTGATAAATGGGTCTGGTCGACATGTGGACCCAAGGGTCGACCCAACCGGCTCAGGGTCTGGACCTAGACATTGGATCCAATGGGTTGGGTTTAGGTCCACTTGACCTTGACTTTGACCTGACCGTTGTTGGACCTGTGATCAGCTTGGATCCTATAAGTAGGGTTCTGTCCAGCTCGAGATCGACCTAGTATATAATTATATATTAGTAGAAAATATATATAAATAATATTTAACAATATGCTATAAAATATATAAAACAACTTTTTGTACTTCTTTTTTAAAATTTATAGACCAAAACCCAACCTAACTCGGTGGATTGGGTCTGTGTTCGACTTGGATCATGGGTAGCTCTTTTGCTTGAGGAAACATGCTTATACTAATCTCCCATGGGAGCACGCCATATGGGCTGTTTACTATGTCACTTTTTCTGCTCCATTATTTAGGGAACTTCCTTAGCCCATGTGTTACCTTCCTTGCTCCATTATTTATGTAACTTCCTTACTCCACTATTTTGAGGGGTGCGGTTTGTATAGAACCTGGGCTCTAAACAATAAAATTAGAGCCTACCTTCAAATAGTGTCGAGAAATGTGGTTTCAATACTGGAAATATTTGTGATAGACTCAAAATATATTTTCATTTTTATCTATAAAGTTTCAAGCTTTTAAAAATAGTGTAGATCGACATATCTATGAAAAATGAAAATTGATGGTCCATAAATGCGTTACAAAATACACTGTTTCCAAAATTTTAAATCAATTTTTTTTCTCATGTTCATACATCTTGATGTGGAGATGATCAATTTGAGAATATATAAGCATCACAACAACCTCTTCTAGTGAAAATTTTGAGGTAGGCTCTAATTTGATTGTTTAGAGCTTCAACTCTATATAAACTTTCCTATTTGAGATATATATTTTTTGTTTTGTTTTTTTTTTTTTACCATGTCCTTCGAGGGCATTCTAAAAGAGCGTGTATGGTATGCTCCTAGGGGAGTATGTCGTACACTTACTCCCTAAAGAAGAAAACTTATTCAAATCTAACTTATTTTAAAAATCACGAGATTATAATTTTAAGAAAAAATATTGATTTTTGGATTCTGAACATTAGACCCGACTATCCAAAATTGGACAATCTTCGAACATTCAGGCACATATGAGGTGAAAATGAATTTTATTTTATTAAAATTAGTGGCCAAGCTTGAGATGGCAACATCCAACAATTTTAAAGGGCGCGGTCTGTATAAGGTGCGGATCTTATAGTGCACAAGCAAAGCGCACCTCTAAAATTTTTTTGGGGGATGTAGTTCCATTCAGTGTAGAAAAAATCGGGTGATTCAAATTCTAACAGTGAGGTGAGACCCGGTTAGATCGAAACTGTCCGGTTCTGGTTTCGATCGGTTTTGGTGAACCGGCCAGGTATTTTTAAAAAAATTTAAAAATAACTATATAAAATCCCAAAAAATAAAGGATTTTGTTTGTAATGCATTTTTTCAAGTTTTCATAATTTTGGCAAAGATTTGAATTGTTTTGGCTACTAGTACTAATTTTTACATTTTGCTCTCTTTTTTGAAAAATTTCAAAAATACTTTTGGGCACAAATCAATTCCTTAAAATCAAAGTTTTTAATTAACTTAATTTGGAAATGATTTGTTTGACCATGCTTTACATATAATTTTCATATTTTATTATATTTTTTATATATATGTTTATTTTCTTAACAATTTTTTGACTGCCCAAGACTTGCCAGGTTAGGCCGATTGAACCGCTTCCAACTCCATGTCTAGTTAACCATTCCGGTTCGATTTGTTTTACCTTGGTTCCGGTGCGAAACCTTCCGATGACTTGAAAATCCATGTTCAACCATGATTAAGAAATTTGAAATTCCCAAAATAATGCAGAAGATCTTTAAATACTTTAAAATCTTAAAAATTGACGATCTAAATAACTTGTCACAGGATGAACTATTTTTTAGGATTCGACTGTTTTTTTTTCTTTACACATATATATCGAGGTCAAGATGATTAATTGAAAAAGTTTTCCAATTTCGAAACACCCTTTTCTACCAGCACCTCACTCAATTGCTTGACTTTCTTTACGTTAGTATGTTCACCTGTGATGCTCACCTTACTCGGCTATGCCCCTTGCCCTACACACATGTTCAATCTTGATGGCTCTTCTCTACTCTTGTCCACCCGAGACCCCTTCGGCAACCTAACCGCAAAAGAAAAAGCCTTCCAGTCAGAAAGAACACAGGACCTCTCCGCCCTACTAAATTGAGCATAGTGGTCGTTCTACGAGTCACGCAAGAAAGCGATTTTCGAGGTGCACCTTACTTCTACAGTATAGTAAACCAAAATTCATGTAGTTGGCCCCAAATAATTGGAAAAAACTCTATAATATAAGGTTGCAATTTTCTATAAACTTTTTTTCAACTTTAAAAGTTTATGTGAAAAGATTTTACCGTGGGAATAAACACATAATATGATCCATGAGATCATATCACTTTCTAACTTCAATAATGCACAATGAGATTGAGATAGTGCATTCTACCTTTAGTGGAAGGGAATTGGTGTCGTTGAACGAATTACGTACAATTATCACATGTTTGGTGGGACCAACTGTCCACCCTATGACTTTTTTTGGTATCATAATTCATAAGCCCATAAGCATAGCTATCGAAAATGAGTTTTTTATTAAAAAAAAAAGAAAAAAAGAAAAAAAAGAAGAAAAAGAAAAAGTGTGAGTGCTTTTGAAAAATTTTAGGTCCACTTTGGATGTTCTTGTATTTCTATTGTTACTCATAAACACGAGCACTTCCAAATCCTTTTGAATCAGTGAGCTAAGGTTTTATGTAGGGGTGGCAATGGACCCGGACCCCAGGGATAAATCTGATTTGGTCTGGTATGGGTCCAAAAATTGGACCTGACATTCAAATCTTAGACCCGAATACTATTCGGTGCGGATCGGAGTCCTCTTGGGTCTGGTTCTAGCAATATTTTCGCCTCCCAATATATGAAATATATTTAAATGTAGTTAAATGTATAGAGAATTTAATTTTTGGGTTAGATCAAGTCCGATTAGGTCTAGTGTCGGACCTGGACCTGGACTCAACTGGTTGCCACCCCTAGTATTATGTAAGCAGGCACAAGAAATGGCCCTTGCCCATGAATGGTGGGGTGGATCAAAAATTGATTATTTTGCTCATAAACAAAGGATGGAGGATAATGGACAATCTAGACTCGACAACTCTGATACCTTTTGGAAAGGAAAACTTTATATAAGGTCGAGGCTTTAAACAATCATATTAAGGTGCACCTTAAAATTTTTACTAGAAGAGGTTGTTTTGATGCTCAAACGTCCTCAAATTGATCATCACAACCTCAAGATACGAGTGGTCTCGCAAGACTACCACTTCACATGGTCTCTTACCTAAGTCAGGCTATTTTTTTTTCTAGGAAATTTATCAAAATATTCATAGAGATGTACTATTTAACATTTTGCCAACTTGTATTCTAGACCATGTGTTTTTATAGATATTATAAAATTAAATAAAAAGAAATACGTACAGTGTTCAATTGTCCATCTATTGCAGGTAATTTAATACATTTCCCTTTTTTATGTAATTTTTCATGTCATCTTTACTCATTCCAAAAAATAATTTAAATTTTAAAAAATTAATCCAGAGGTCCAAAATTGCTCAAAATAGAATCCGCCCCTCAAAGAATGGCTCTGAACCCTCCATTTGTGAGATGAAGAGATAAACAAGTCCATGTTTTTTAATTTAATACAATTCCCTTTTTTATGCAAATTTTCATGTCATCTTTACTCATTCCTAAGAATAATTTAAAATTTAAAATTTTTAATCTAGAGGTCCAAAATTGCTCCAAATAGAATCCCCCTCAAAGAATGGCTCTGGACCCTCCATTTGAGAGATGAAGCGATAAACAACTCTAGGTTTTGAATAAACTAAAAGATCATCTTCTAGTTACTTTTCACTGTTCAGAGTATCTAATGCATAGCAACTCACTTTTGAGTGTTGTATAGGCAGTATCCATATATTTTCCATATACTAAAGTTATGATTGAGGTTGATTGATTTAGGTACAATTACCACATGTTTGTTGGCCAAACACTCAACCAAATTATGACGTTTTCTGATATCATAAACTCATAACCATAGCGAACAAAAATGCGTTTTAAGACATCACTTTCCTTTCAATCGTTTGAAAAGTCAAGGCTCAGTTTGGAAAAGGGGCTCGGTGGTGATGATAGCCCCCCATACCTTAGTCATCACGTGGTCATTTTTATTCTCATTGACTCCACCCCACTATCACTTTCAAAAATTAACTTTTATATTATTTGAAAAAAATGGCTAGGGGTCTCTCTTCCCCATTGAATTACCAAAAAAAATATATATATATAAACACAAGGGAGTGATACTTTGGACATAATAAGAAAGCTCTTAAGTCGGGGATAAAATCACCACATAAAGTTACACACATATAACATTAACATATTCAAATAGCTCATATCTCGACTGGACGAGACATTGTAGCAACTTGTACAACTTTTTTTTTTTTGGGATGTTGATTGAGAGTAGTAATACCATGCTTAAGGGTTTCGAAGCAAGGGCTCGAGATAGGAATAGCTAGGGTTGGGAGCTTGACTTACAACCCTACTCGGCTGAATCTGTCTGCGGATTGCACAGTGTTAAAAAAATCAACGACAAAGCTTGGGAAAACGGCTAGTACCCAAGGATCTTGTTTCCAACTTGGCAACCTACTCAGTCTGAGTATCTCAAGGGAGTTCAGGACAGACTCACCGAGTTTTCAAGTATTGCAATGCATCATTCACGAGCCACCAAAACTACTTGCTTCCCAACATTTCTACCAGATAAGAGTCCAACGAGAGCCGAGGGTGCATTCTCGAGGCCTTCAACAATGTCTTTCACATAAGCCATCTTCCCCTCTTTGATGCTCTTAATTGTGGTCTCCAGAAACTGAAGATACATATGCCAATAACCAAACACTGTAAATCCTTTTACATGAATTCTCTTTGCTCTATCATTCCACAAGCTGCAATCCGGCCATGTTCTCTCATATTTAAAAGAACTGCATCATGCATGGCACCCCCCATATTCTCAAAGTAGATGTCTATGCCGTGAGGGAAGTACCTGATGGAGATAAATAAAGTAACACGTTAGAGAGACAAAAGATTGTGTCATGGAGTATAATTTCAGAGACGGGAAGTTATACTATGATAGTTCGGAATATGAAAAAATCCAGAATCTTGCGGTTAATCAGAATTCAATTAATAATCGATGGTTGGATGGTGATGGAAACAGTAGGGCACAATGCATACTATTAGAGTCATTTCATGTTTTGGCAGCTCCAAATCAAAATGATGAGCCTGTATCGAAAATTTAACAGAAGTGAAAACCTCATACATAGACGAATGGCCTTACGCATGAATACTAGACAGATAAAAAGTTCCCGAATCCGATATGTGTAGGTGTCAGATTTGGCACCTAAAATAGGACACAAGGAGACATATCTATACGATTTTATTTTATAATAGGATAATAAATTTTAAATGACTACATGACAAAAAATTTATATTTATTACAAGTAACTGTAATTGATGCAGAGGTGCCCTATAAGAACTTGTACAAGAGGTCTTAGATTCAATCCCCAACATTTAATGTCCCATGTGTCGGAAAGTGTCAATCCAGCCCTGAAAATGGAATGTTTAGGTGTTAAATTGGTAACATGTGAAGATTATACCTTTTCAAAGTGGCCACCAAGTCATTCTCCTCTTTACAGTTGAAAGCTTCATCAAAACCAAACTTTGTCTTCAATAAATCAACATAGAAGGGCCATGAATTTTCTTGCAAGCCAGCTTATTGCTTCCATCTAAAACTAAAACTACAATATTACATCATTTACTGATAAAAAAAATGAGCTAAGTGAGAGTGTGTAATACCATTTCTTTAGAACCAGCGCTTCTAACTACATAGCGACCTACTAATTTAGCATATTGGCCAACAAGTTGGCCAACTGCCCTTGATGCTATTGAGACATACACATATTCACCTTTTTTTGGTGAGCAAACCTCAAAAAATCCAACATAGACTGTCATCCCCGGCATTCCTACATAAAATTACAAACGATAAAACTTTGCATTCTTGTGTTTCAATATAAAAAGGAAATACAAGCAAATTCAGCAAAGGTGGTTGAGTCAACAGGTGCCTTAATAGATCATCTAAAGTTCCATTTTCACCAAGTTCCAATTTAAAATTCAAAAGTGGGAAAAAAAAAAATGAAGGTAATTGTATAGGACCCATCAAGGTTCCATGCATACTGGCCCTAAATATTTATGAAGGAACCAAATAAGGTGTCATACAACTAGCATTTACTCATTTTTTGTGTAATTAAGAAAGTGAGTAACTTGTAAGAGAAAACCAGATATTCTAGAAAACTGATTTAGCTATAAATTCATTATGATATAAGTTACAATAATAAGATAAAGGGTAATTGATATATTAGCTAGATAAGACCCACGAAGAGCCTTTTCACATGACAATTACTTTTATCTGGAGCAGACTATCTTATTTGAAATTAATATACTTTGGAAAACATTTGCTAGCCGTTTATTACATACTTTGTATTATACATGGGACCTGGTTTCTATGCGAGCGAGATCGCATATGTTAAAATTCGGGCCTCTTAATAAATATATTTTTTAGATGGATTTTAAAACTTAATTTTTAAGGACATGTACTCTCTAACATTGAGATCATGATTACTAAAAAATAAATAGATTTTTAAAAACCAAAAATAATAATTCTATTAAAAAAACATTTGGACCGTTAGTTTCCATTGTTTTTAAATGGAACATCTACTTGCGCTTTACCCATTTTGCACCGCATATATCGAAATGTGGTCTAGCCCACATGAAACAATTTTCCTTATGTATAATAGGGTGTGGTTCGCATAAGGTTGCAACCTTGAACAAATAAATTAAGGTGCGCTCCAATCTTTGTCATGAGATGAAATTTTGGTGTCGGAAGTTCTTAGAATGATGTGAGAATCTATTTTTATATCTAATTGTAAAAATTTAAACACCAAAACTAGTTCAAATCAAGATGATCCGGATAATGTGTCGCAAGAAGTACTATTTTTAAGACTTGAAATCTTCTTTTTTTTTCCCTCCATAACCATATACCTTGATGTTGAGATGATCAATGAGATCTTTATCCAACATCCAAACAACATTTTTCAAAGGATTAGATGCACCTTAATTCTACATTTTAATGTGTCAACCTTATATAAACTTTTTCCTATATAGTATTATTCAATTATTATTATTTTTTATACTTTTTCGCTATTTCTGGATAAAAAAGTGTGATTTTAAGCGAGTTATTTTATTCAAAATAATTTAACTTTAAAAAAGACAGACTTATACCTATAAGTTTATCTCATAAAACCTAATAATAGACACCACCAAACAACAAATAATTCACTGTCATGATTAATTTTATTAGAACAATAAATTATTAGTGATATTGAGTAGATCAAGACTATAACACAATTCACTTGTTAGGAGAAAATGAAAAAGGATGGTAAAAATGATAAATACCTAAACTACCAGTGCAGTAAGAAACATGTACTTTAGTGCGTGATTTTTTTTTAGTGTTTATGTCTTTGTAATCAAGTTGAACTCTTCCCATCCAGCTATTTCCCAAACTGAGTGACTTTTCTTGAATTCAAGGTACCCTGAATCAAGGACCTTTGACAACTCATAACCATGTAGGACCTGTGAAAGAATAAAACTAAAGTTTTGACAAATAAGATTATGATAAGTAGCACAAAAATAAAATTATGCATGCAATGAAAGAACATATTATTATGACTAAAAGCGTTGAAAGAACACAAAATAAGGGGGAAAGAAAGAAGAAAAAGTGTCCATTATTTAGGTATTAATAGGCTATTCTCTTTGGAGTATTTCATTAACTTAATATTTATTGGATAGACTAATTTTGTCATTGGTAAGAGGTAAAATAGATATTTCTAATAAAGTGTAGTGCTATTTATCAATTTTTGTAGAACAATTAAAGTTCCACGTAGATGATGTCATACTATATCAGATCCTCTGCGGTAATATCGGTTTCCATAATAGTTTATAGCAATGATATAAATCATCAAAGTAAGACAGCTTCATATAGTGTCGAAAGACGTTTCAATATTGGAAATCTTTGTGATGGCCTTAAATTTATTTCATATCTAATTTTAAAATTTAAAACTTAAAAAATAGGGTAGATCAAGTAGATCAATAAAAATTTAAAAATATTGAAAATTAATGGTCCAAAAATGCATTACAAGATGACCTATTTCCAAGACTTGAAATCCATTTTTTTTACGTCCATTCATCTTGAGGTTGAGATGATCAATATGATGATTTTTTAGCATTGAAATCTAATGATTTTTTGAGGTACACCTTAATTTAATTATTTAGGGCCTCGCCCTTATATAAACTTTTTCCATGATTTAAAGATCAAATCCTATGTGGTAATAATCTCCATCACGGTTCTAAAATCAATTTTCAAAACCAACAATAAAATTTGAAACTCAGAAAATGATGTAGATTTTACGGATTTTTTAACATTTATTTTTTGGGGCAAAATGAACGGTCTAGACAATTTGTTACAATGAGCTTGAAGTCCTTTTTTTTATTATTTTACAACCATAGTGTTCAAGCTGAAGTATCGATGCAATGGTTTTTCAATGCTAGAATTGCAATTTTTGATGAGTTATAAAGTGAGGCTTTACTTATTTTGATAGGGATCAAACCATTTTCCAAAGGTAAATTTAGGAGGAGAGAGAGTGAAGGGAGATAGATGGGAAACATGAAGAGAGAGAGTGAGGGGAGAGAGATGGGAAAGACAGAGAGAAGGGTACAAGGAGAGAGAGAAAGAGAGATAAGTTTGAGAGGATGGCTTTTAGAAAATGCATGTCTTTTTAAATTTGTTTGACCTAAAAAACAGTTTAAATTAGCTCAGGGGGTTAGAAAAAAATAAAATCTACATTTTTTATGCCCAAAGATATTTAACAAGTCTATTGTGAAATTAAACTTAAAAATAGGGGGTATGGAGATATTTTTTCTTATATTTATCACAATTAAGTGCAATTGATGTAGAGGTGCACATCAAGAACGTGGCACAAGATGTCTTGGATTCGATCCCAAACCTTGTCTTCTGAACAAACTTCTCATGTCTCCGGTGTCAGAAAGTCTCATTTTGATACAACCCCAAAAATGAGGTGTCCAGGGGTTAAAAGTATTAATATGTGAAGATTATACCTTTTCAAAGTGCCCACCAAGCCTTGCTCCTCTTTATAGTTGAAAGCTTCATCAAAACCAAACTTTGTCTTCAATAAATCAACCTAGAAGGGCCATGAATTTTCTTGCAATTCAGCATATTGCTTCCATCTAAAACCCAAACTACAATCTTACATCATTTATTGAAAAAAGAAAGATTAAAGTGAAAATGTATAGTACCTTTTCTTTAGAACCATCACTTCCAACTGTTGAGGATTGATGTCTTGTATTTTGAGGAAATAGATCTGTCAAAGTATAGTCAAAAGGACAACTTCGGAGGGTGGAAGGCAAAAGGACTTGAGGCCAGGAGAAGTGTCCAACGTAGGTAGACTTGGTTTACTTGGCCCCTATGGGGATTCAGGGGCGGCGGCCCCCTAAGAAAATTTCTGAGATTCGTACTTGGGGATTCGATATATCTGGGATTCGATATATATCTGTACTTAGGGTATTTCGATAATTTGTACCATCTATCTGGGACTCGATATATATTATTGCGACTCGATATACATTGTTGCGATTCAATAGATATTGTTGCGATGGGGGGGTTCATTTAGGGTTAAGGGTAAAAACATAGATTTCTTTATAATCAGAAAGAATAGAGAGGCGTGAGGAAGAGAGCTAATGTAACCATATTCTCCATTGCCAGTAAAGAAGCTCTCATCTTCTTTGGATGTAGGCACGTTGCCAAACCACATATATCTTTGCATTGTGGTTGGTTGTCTCTTTTTATTGTGTTTGTTTCTTCTTTCTTGTTTTCGTGGATTGTTTTTTGTTTCTACACCAACTACATTGCAACCTATCGATTTAGCATATTGGCCAACAAATTCACCAATTGCTCCTGATGTTGCTGGGACATATACATATTCACCTTTCTTTGTAGAGCAAACATCAAAAAATACGGCATAGGCTATCAACCCAGGCATTTCTACAGAAAATTACAAAGCATAAAACTTAGAATTCTCTTGTTCGAACATGAAAAGGAATTAAAAGCAAATTTGGCAAAACGATGGTCTAGTCGGCAGGTGCCTTAATAGAACATCTAGAGTTTCATTTTCACCAAGTTCCAATTTAAAATAAAAAATGGGTTAAAAAAAATAAAAAACAAGGATAATCGTACAGGACCCATCAATGGATCCATCTATACTGGCCCTAAATGTTTCTGAAGGCACCAAAGAAGGTGTCATACAACAAGCATCTACTCCTTTTTTAATATTATCAAGAAAATGAGTAACTAGTAAGAGAAAACCAGAAATGCTAGAAAATTGATTTAGCTGTAAATTTATTATGATATGAGTTACAATAATATGAGAAAAGGTGATTGACATACTATCAAGATAAGACCCACTGAGAGCTTTCTTGCATGGCAATTGATTCTATCTGGAATAGCATACTTTGCATTTTGCACAATAGAAGTTGTTTGTATTATTTTTGGGGTGGTTTGTGGATCCATTCTATCAAGAGGTGCAATTCTGGTGTCGATAATTCTTAAGATGATGTGAGAATCTATTTTTATCTCCAATTATAAAATTTTGAACTCCAAAAATTGTTCAAATCCAGACGGTCCGGATAATATGTGGCAAGGCGTACTATGTTTAGGACTTGAAATCTCTTTTTTACACCATTTAATATATACCTTGATGTTGATATGATCAATTAGAAATTTTTTCAACATCCAAATATCAATTTTCAAAGGTTTTTAGAGATGCACCTTAATTCTATACTTTAAGGTATCAACCTTACATAAACTTTTCCTATATAATATTATCTAATTATTTTATTTTTTGGCATTTTAAGCTTTTGTGTGATTTTAAGAAAATACTTTGAATAAAACTTCAACTTTTAAAACTACAAATTTATATGTTAAACTGCTTATAAGTTTATCTCATTCAACTTAATAATGGACACCACCAAACAACAAATAATTCATCATCAGGATTAATTTGATTAAAACAATAAATTATTAGTGATATTGAGTACATCAAGACTCGCCTTAAAACAATTCACTTGTAGCAGAAAATGAAAAAGGATTGTAAAAATGATAAATACCTAAAATACCAATGTACAAAGAAAGAGGTGCTTCGGTGTGTGTGCGATTTTTTTTAGTATTTCTGTTCTTTGCAATCAAGCTAAACTCTTCCCAACCAGTTTGTGTGTGCGATTTTTTTTAGTATTTCTGTTCTTTGCAATCAAGCTAAACTCTTCCCAACCAGTTTTTCCCCAAACCAAGTCACCTTTTTTGAAATCAGAGTGCTCTGAATCAAGGACCTTTGACATCCCATAATCACTTAAGACTTATAATTTTAATTTTGATAAATAAGATTATGATAAGTAGCACAAAAACTAAACTACACATGCATTGAAATAACATATTATTATGACCAAAAGCATCGAAAGAACATAAAATATGGGGAAAAAAAGGGAGAGTCTATTCTTTAGGTTTTAATACACTGTTCTTTTTGGAGTATTTCATTAACTTAATATTTATTGGACTATCTTGCCTTTTATTACAAATTTTTTTAACAGAATTAATTTTGTCATTGGTAAGAGGTGGAATAGATATTTCCAGTGTGGTGCTATTTATTAGTTTTTGTAGAACAATTAATATTCCAAGTAGATGATGTCATATTATATCAGATCATATGAGTAATAGCAGTTTCCACAATATTTTATAGCAATGATTTAAAGATCGCCTTAGCCATGGTACTCGGCCCTTGGCTGAGGTGAGTAACTTGGCGCAGTGAGTGGACTTGGCCGAGTTATGTACACCCCAACAAATTGTAATAAGTCAAAAAAGAAAAGTAAAAAGCTTTTAAAAAATAAGAAAAAAGTTAAGAGAGTGAATAGAATCTTAATATTGGTGCAGTTTGAGTGGACTTGGCCGAGTTATTGAAAATTTTGTATTTATAATCTTAATATTTACAAAAAAAAAAGAAAATTACAATTCTCAAATCACATTAAAAACTATTGAAATAATCTAAAAACATATTTCTAACCAATATATTTGTTTTTCTAATTTTTTTCATATTTTCACTTTTTTATATTTTTTTAGTAGTTTTTGGTGCCTGGCGAGTTGGGCAACCAACTCATGTTACCACTAGGGCGAGGTTGAGTTACTTGGCCAACTTCGAGATGTCTCAGTTGACTTTAAGTGGACTTGGCCGAGTCCAAAGAGACAATTTATACTTAAAAATATGGTTTTTTTTTTAAATACAGTATGAGGTGGACACCTTATACAAACTTCACCTTATCAAGTTACTTATAAGAGATAAAAATTTAACACTATCCATATCTTTTGATTTTATTTGAAAATACTGATAAAGGCCTACACAATCTTGAGTTGGAATAGTTGTAAATGTACAAATATTAAATAATTGTAAAACATTCCAGATGACTAGGCCTGGGAAGGAAAATAACATAAAAAGAAATCGAGTTTGGACCAAAAAAATGTAGGGTGGCAATCCGATGTTGCATTTATCAAACTGCCTCATGACTAGGACAATTTGATTTATTAGATATTAAATTGCGCTACAAATGCCAAAAAGTAGGAAAGAAAAAAAATTAAAAAATAAGCACATCGATGTTTGAAACCTCATACTACAAACGAAATATAAAAAAATTAATAAAAATAGGGGGAGTAGGACCTCATAGTAAAATTATCGAACTTATGACTCAAAAGGTAAATCCAGTAATTTTACTTAGTCTGTTTATAAAAATCCTTGAATTTATTAACAAAAATAATCCAGCAATGTACTATAATAAGGGTGTGGTTTGTATAAGGTGACAACTTTACTTGCAGAAGTAAGGTTCCAATATTCTACATCGTTCATTTTAATTAGATGATATAGACTTGATACATCTTTTAAAGATTATTTAAAAAAATGTATATCTTTTAAGACATTACTAAGGTAGTACTAAATTTACTCCATCTATATAGACGACTTGGACTATAACAGCCTTACTTCTATGAGTGAGATTGCGATTTGATATAAATTTTTTTAAAAATAATACACCAATATTTGAGAAACCACAGCCCAGACTTGACTCGACCCAATAAGGTCAAATTCGAGCCTAAATCCAAGTCATTTGGAACCGAACCCAACTTACTAGGTCCAATACCTGAACCTGGACCCAGTTCCAGTCAACCCAATCTCCACCCCATGAAGAACATAAAAATGGGAAATTATGAGATGTATTCCTCAAAATTTTGGATATTATTGATTATACTGAAATCTCACATTTTACACTCATACTCATTTTCCCCACTTTTTATTAATACTCATTTTGCCCTCGTTTCGGATTTGATCCGTGTGTGATGCTACAAAACCGCCATGGATCAAACACATCTGATGACTGTTTGCCCCATGAGAACCTTTAACGCCACCACGAACCTGGTGCGTCTATGGCGATCCCATCACGGACCTTGTAGGTCCGTGGCATAAAGCAAGTATAAAGATGCCTAAGCCACTGTAGAGCATCCTCAAATTCACCCCCTCTATGGGCCAACTAGGCCTGTGGGGTATCATCACAGGCCTAATAAGTTCATTGTGGTTTTAAACTACTATTATTGATGCATTAGATGCGTAGCGGTTGCAATATTACAGATGTATCAAGTCCGCAATAAGGGCAAAAATAAGCATGCCATTGATAGGAAAAAAAGAAAAAGAAAAATGGTTAAGTGTATATTAAGTGAGGTTTTGGTATATCCGTAACGAAAAAAGTTTGTAACCTTAAAAATGTAGAATTAAGGTTGCACCTCAAAAATCCGTTGGAAAATGTTGTTTTAATGTTGAAGAACCCTCTGAAGAACCCTTTGATTGATCATCTCGACATCGAGAGCAATTTGAAAGGGGAACTTCTCGCTCTTATTTCATCAAGTATCGCCGTCAAGCACTCGCTTTGTGCTATAGACTTGTAAGGCCCTTCCAGTCCAAACTTCCAGAGTGGACCGGGGAAAAAGTTCTTTCGTTTAGAAACGGGGTTCACATAGTCCAGTAAGTGTACTACCTTTAGTGATCAATTTTCTGTTGGAGAAGACACTTTTAGAAAAGTGCTCCCCCGTTCAAATGACATTACTGTAGATAGAAACCATCTCAATTCTTCCTCCTATACTGTGTTCTAATAGCTGAGGTCACTGCCTAAAGCCCTCACATTCCATGATCCTCATTTTTTCTAACCCCTCCTACTGCCAGAGGCCTCACCTCCCCTTTTTTTCTTTCTATTCTTATCCTTGGATATCAGCAATGACTGTGGTGTATGAATATGACAAAAAAAAAAAAAAAAGATTTCGAGTCTCAAAAATAGTGCACTTGCAACATATTATTCAAACCGCTCATTTTCAATATTTTCATATGTTTATAGATCCCCTTGACTGAACTATTTTTGGAGGAGTTTTTAAAAGGAAACTTGTTTCATACAGATTGGACCGCAATTCTACATATGCAGTCTAGAAAGTGTATAACATCCATCTTAAAGATGGATACAAGTAGGTGTTCCATCTAAAAACAATAAAAACTAACGATCCAAATGTTTTCCTACTAGAATTATTATGTTTAGTTTTTAAAATTTATTTATTTTTTCATATTCATGATCTCAATGTTAGGGATTACATGTCCTTAAAAATTAAGTCTGAAAGTCCATCTCAAAAATAGATTTAGTAAGAAACCTGCATTTCTACATATGCGGGCTTGGCCGCATACAAACCGGGTCCTTAAAATTTTATTATCAGAGTTGGAAATAGATTTTCAGGCAATTCAAAGAATTTTTTATTCTAAAAGTACATTTTATGATAAAATTTAGAGGTGCGCCTTAATTGGATTATTTAAGATTGCAACCTTATGCAAACCATACCCATCAGTAAGATCCAAAACTTCAAAGCATATATCTGATAATTTCCACCTAAAAAATGGGTACATATCACCAAAAATAAGGGGGAAAATATATAATAAGATTATTTCCCTTTACTACAAGTTGTCACAATAAATCTTGACAATTGGATGTGAAATTGGACGGTTTCATTTATTTCATTGACAAAGCTCAAAGTTCAAACAAAAAATTTCTCGAACTTAGTGAAACACCCAAACTATCAAATTTCATATTGTATGGATATAAGTAATTGTAACATTTCGTGTGCTAAGGGGCCATTTAGGTACCTAGAAAAATATTAAATATTACATGACAATAGATTACAAGGAAATATGGCATTACACTTAATCGTAAGGAAATGGAAAGAGATTACGCGAGATTTCCCAAAACATCAAAAAATCCATGCGGTGATAAGTGAAAAATCTGTTACGGGAGTGACGGGTAATTTTGGGAAATCTTTCGCGTGCGTTTTTTCTTACCCTATTCCTGATTAAAAAAATCTCTTGTAAACCCTCTCTCTTCATAATAACTAGCATAGGTGATCCCTCCCTTTTTAAGCTCGTCCCCTTATCTGAAGGCATCAGCTGTCATATAAAACAAAAATGATAAAAATAAAAATCAATAATCAATGATAAATTACACAATACAATCATAATAAAAAATTTCACACAACATAATCCTCATAAGAGATTACTAAAATCTCACTTGAAATAACATACCTATTTTGTCTCCTCCAATACCTCAAAATTTTATACTGCAATTACAAAGCCTTCTAGTTTACTAATCAAACTTTTCCTATTTTTTAACTCGTACCATAGAGATTTTGAATTTAGTATCATAAATTTATTATTTATTTGAAACTATATAGAGAGACATTTGAAAGACTTCTATAAAAAAAAAATAAGGCTTATCATAATAAAATCATGTTATTCTAATCATATTGTTCCAATGACTTATCATGTAACCAATGTTATGTTCGAAGACATGTGATTCCATGTAAGTGTCAAAAGCATGTAAACTATGTAGGAAATGATGTCATGATGACTGTAAAACTGTACAAGTTATTATTAAAAATATATTTTTGAAACGGTGATGATGTTATTATTAGAAATCTTTTTAGAATGGTGTGATGATGATTTTAATTCCATATTTTAGTGGAATTTTGTAACAAAAAAGAAAGAAATGATAATTCTGCATTTTAGTGGAATTTTGTGACAAAAAAGAAAGAAATGATAGTTTATAGGCACATGCTAGTAAAGTGTTGGTAATGCATTTCCTATATTTCTTTCAGATATAGCCAAACAATAACAATGTATTTCTCAGGTTGAATCTAAATACTACCCAAACAATAACAATTCATTTACAGGTAATGTATTACGCCAATAATATTTCAGAGACAATATATTTCTAGGTATCCAAACAGCCCCTAAAGGAAAATGGTCTACAATCCAAAAATAAAAATAACTCAACTAAAAATACCAAAAACTCTAAGCCCCTAATCTTTCCCTCAAAAGACAAAAATGCCCTTATTTTCCAACAATAAAGAAGACACTGTCAAAGAGAGAGGCACTTTAATGGTGCTTAACACCATTTCCAAGTCTATTTCTTTGGGAAAACCAGTCATATAGTCCTTTAGTATGATATGTTTGTTACTCACCTCTTCCCCATTTGCCATTTTTTCAACCAGAAAAACAAACTCTCAAAACCCCTCTCTCTCTCTATACAAAAACAACCCAACTCTGTTTACTTGTTCTCTCTCTAGGAAAAACAATATTTCAACTCTCTTTCTCTCTCTAGAAAACTAGAATTCCTCAACTCACTACAACTTCCAGCTCAAAAACTGACTTTTTGATCCTCTCTCTCTCTCAAGCGGGTGCCCAATTATATTATAATCTCTCTCTTTCTCTCAAAATTAACCAATAATCTCCTGTCTTTCCATGCATTTTCGAGCTGCTTTTTGTAGCGACGTTTCAAGACCAGCACGGCAAAAAATGCCCATATATTTCGGAAAAAATTGAAACGGAACTGCGTGAAGGGGTATTTCAAACAAATTTGAAATGGAATTACCCCAGGTACCTTCTCGCAGCCTTGAAAGGTCCTGTTGATAAATTTGAAACGGAACTGCATTATAACTGAGTAAACTTTCACAATATTTGAGAATAGCCTCCGGCCTTGATGAAAGTATTACGGAGTCCATGATGAGATCTCTTGCTCCATTCTCACCAAAGGGTAGGGCTCAAATCCTGAGACTTGCTACTTCAAGCAAAGGAGATGGGTTGGTGTGGAGGTGTTGAAAGAAAGACCTATGTGATCTTTTGTCGAAGAAATACAATTTTTTTTTGAATAATAATCACCCCTTATAACTTTGGCAACAATATCACTCACAGATGGTCTTATTACAAACAATAGAAATTCCAAAAAAAAAATTAACACATCAATAAAATAAATCTCAACTACTTGATGCTATTCATACAACCTAATACTGTGCTTGAGAATACAAAATAAAAGAAATAATAAATAAAAGAAAAGATGCCGGAGATTACCTCAACCGGACTTTTTACACCCCACACCGAGTCACCACATCCAATGGCGCGGGATCGGCGGTCTAGCTTCAATCTCGAACCGGGAAAGCTAATTTTGGCCAAACTAAGTAACTACCATTAAATCTCTACAAGACCCTAACTCCAAAATAATTAGGTTCAAACCCTAATTTTCCAAACCCTTAGATTAGATAATGAGAGAGAGAGAGTCTCTATGTTGGGGCGTGCCCCCTTGGGGATTTTTAGGAGAGAGAGTAGAGAGAGAAAATCAGAGAGTAGAGAGAGGAGGGGCATGGCCCCTACGGAAGAGAGAGAGAGAGTTTATGGGAGAGATAGAGGTGTGTAGAGATGGGGGAGAGCACCCCTATTTATAGTGAAATTTAGGTCTAGGGTTTCTTTAGGGTTTTCCATAGTTTACCTCTTTCTTGAGATTGAATATGAACCATTGATCAAGGTGACTTGTGGGATGAGAGATCTGAGTCATCCATTTCATAGATGGGTCATCAACATTATGGAAGGTGCATGAACCATTATCCCCCTTTTCTTAAACTATTTTCCCGTCAATATATTTAAATAATTTAAATCTATTAAAGATATAGTGCATACCATAAATTGCATATTCCATCTCATATTTTCTATAAGAATATTTCAATAATATCAAGTCAAGATATTCCTTCAATAATCAAGATAAGATATGGTCAATATTTCTTGATCAATATTTGACCATATGCTACAAGATAGAGTTATCATATTTAATAAACTTGACGACAAAGCAACAAGAGAAGGTATCCAAGGGTGGGGCATACTACCCATGTATGGTATGTGGGGCCCTACCTAATACCCACATGGTGGGCTCATGTACACTATGGGCCCCCCATGTATTTTTTTTAATAAATATTTTAAAATTAAACAAAATGAATTTTAAAACATTATAATTTTGTAAATTAATAACTTCATTTTTATAAGTCCAAAAATAAGAAATAAAATATCAAATGACTTATAAAAATTCAAATAATAAATCTAAAATAATTTAATAATAAAATGAACACAATTAAATTAATATAATGGGAAGTGGATGCATATGGTTCAGGAATTCTATCAACGATCACGGGGTACTCCACCTTCAATTGTGGACTACAGACCACACTTGTTTTATCAAACCGACCCAGTATTTCCCATGACCCACAGTCCAAGCAGGGGCTCATTAGCGGGTCACCAAAGTCTGGCTAATAAGCCAAGGGGTTGCAATCCCAGTTTGTGGATTACAGGTCCTCCCTTAGAGACGAGTTAAGGTCACCACGACCTGATGCGACCACAACTCTATGACGCATAGGGGTATCTCTCGTACATACATACGCTTCACCCAAAAGTGGATATCTGGCTTTTTCGAACGATCTATCAATATGCATGCTGTGTGATGGAACATGGATGAGGTTTTGGCCCCCGTCTCAATAGGCCTATCATCACACACAAGGGTCACACAGTCCCTCGACTCTTTCATCTAGGCATAAGCTTCGACCTCATCAAGGGCTAACCCAAAACCCTCCTCGGTTAATTCTTTATGCCCAGGTACCTTGGGTTTTCCAACTGCCTGGCTTAGATTGATAAGTACAATCCGGTATAAGCAAACATCATTTGCTTAGTATGGTCATCGAGGGACCACACTCCCACTGAGTTTATATTTCACTATAATGAAAGTATTTCGATACACACTCATAAGGCCTTTAAAGGCCACATAAACCCAACAGGTACCCCACAATCGAGTCACCACGCTGTGGTTTTCATTCCCACCACTAACACCTTCAAAAAGTTTTAACACTTAATCTACTTGATAAAACAGGCAAGCATGTCTTAATCTAATTAATAAAACATGCAGGCCTGTCTTAATCTACTTGATAAAACAGGCAGGCTTGTCCTAATCTACTTGATAAAAATAGTCAGGCCTGTCTTCCTCGTTGAATTACTTGAAAAAAAAAAAAAAAAACTTTTACAATATTTTAAATGGCAGGATTATAACCAAGTAAAAATCCTCATATGGAAAGGACTTTCTATGATGGAAATCTCTCTAATGACTATAAAATTTTCCAATACTGACAATAAAATTTTAAACTTAAAAAATGGTAAGATTTGTGGATCTGTGAATATTTTTAGGGCAATATAGATGGTCTAGATAATTTGTTATAATATACACTATTTTTAGAGCTTGAAATCCTTCTACTTTTTTCACAATCATAATGTTCAAGTTGAGATGATCGATGTAAAGTTTTTTAATGCTTGAATTTCAATTTTACATGAGTTATGAGGTGAATATGAACTTATTCTGATGGGGTTGCAGCCCTATCAAGCCATTTTCCATTTTTTAATGGATGAAGTTGTTGAGTGAGTGTGGTCATTAAATGCCTTATGTGCTAGTAAAATGAAATGATATAGTAGAACATGAACTCATTGAGAGTGTGGTCCCTTGTGGACTATACTAAGCAAACAATGTTTGCTGATACCAGATTGAGCCTAATGAGCTAGGCCAGTCGATTGGGAAACACCTATGTTACATGGGCCTAAAAAACTATTTGATAAGGGTTCGAATAGGTCATCCCTTGATGACGTCGAAGTATACCCGGATGAGTGAGTCAAGGGATTGTGTGACTCTTGTGTGTGATGGTAGACTTCAGAGACAGGGACCAAAGCCTCATTCGCAAGCCATCACATGGCATAATGATAGCCGTTTCGATAAAGCAAACCACATTTTAGGGTGAACCTTATGTATGTGTGTGAGATGCCCCTCTGCGCCGAATTAGGTCTAGGTGACCTTGATACGTCTCTAGAGGAGAACGTGAAATCCAAAAATTGGGATTACAACCCTTTAGCTCATTGGCCAGACTTTGGTGACCCACTAATGAGCCGCTGCATGGACTGTGGGTCCTGAAAAATACTGGGTTGGTTTGATAAAGCCAGTGTGGATCGTTGTCCACAGTTGAAGGTGGAGTGCCCCAGCTTTTATTTATTTAATTCATAGACCTTATGGATCTTTTTCCCCATCTAATAAATTTAATTATGTTTGTTTAATGGTATATGACTTTAGAATTATTATTTGAATATTTCGAAATCTCTGGATATTTTATTTATCAAATTTGGATTTATAAAAGCAGAGATATTGATTTTAGATTGATTTAAATATTCAAATTTGATTTTATGGATTTCTAAAAATCATATAATTACTTTTAATATAATTTTAATATTGCATGGGAGGCCCAATATATTAATGGGTCCACCATTGCATATAGGTGGGGCCCATAAAGTACCACCTAGGGTGGCACACCCCACCCCACCCTGATGAAACTTTCATTGTGTTAGTTCAAGCTTTGGCTTGAAGATAAAGCTTTGAAGTGTTTTGGAAAGATTTTGCCTTGAGGAAGTTTTCAAAAGATTTTTGGAAAGCATGAGAAGGCTTGTGCATAATTTTGGTAAGCACTATATTATGAATGTAATTATTTTATTTACTTTCTATTGATGGCAAAATGGTTTAGGAATGGGGGATAAATGTTCTAGCATTTTCCATAATGTTAATGACCCATCTATGGAATAGATGACTCAAATCTCTCACCCCACAAGTCACCCAATATCAATGGTCCATATTTATTCTCACAAGAAGAGTCAAACCAAAAAAAACCCTAAGAAATCCTAATCTTGTTCAAAACCTATAAAAATGGATTGTCTCCATCCAAACTCTCCTTATCTCTTACACATAATTCTCATCTCTCTCTCATATACTACAAAGGGGGCACGACCCACTTAGAATATATATCTCTCTATTTCTTAAGAAAGTTTCCCTCTCTCCCTCAAGAGACCCAAAGGGACACACCTTACTCTCTCATCTTTGATAGTTCTCTCATAGTGGTTCTCTCAACCCTCTCATGATCTCTCATCTCTCATTCGGATTTTAGACTATAGAGTTGTGGTAGAAAAGAGAAGTATATATCTCAAACTAGGTTGCTAAGGGGATTCACCTAAAGGTTTGAGATTTGTGATGAAAGAGTTCATAGTTCCATTAGAGGGTTTGGCATAAACTTGTTTTCCCGGTTGAGATTAAAGGTTGATCATTAATCTTGTGTCATTAGATGGTGGTGACGTGTAGGGTGTAATAAGCACGGTTGAGGTAATCTCGGGAACTTTTGTTTTATTTCTTGTCATATTTAATTATATTGTCTTTATATTCTCAAACATAAGAATTGTGGATATTTTCTTTGTTTTAAGAAAATTGCTTTAATGACATCAAAGTTTTTAAGATATTTGATTTGTTAGTTTTATTTTCTTTGAAACAAGAGTTATTGTAATAAGACTACTTGTAAGTGATCTTTGCCAAAAGAAAAAAAAAAGACAGAAGAAGAAGAAAATTGGTGAAAAGAAAAAAAGAAAAAAAAAGATATCCCTCGACAATATCGCATTAGTCTTTCTTTCAGAAGTTGCTGTAGTTTTAGGCTTTATGAAAACAAAATAAAGCTGCACCTCAAATCCTTATCGAGAAAGTACATTCGTTATCGAAAATCCCATGATGGTTCTAAAATCAATTTACATCGTTGACACTAAAATTCGAAACTCAAAAAATAGTACAGATCTTGCGGATATGTGAATACTTATTTTTAGGGAAAATGGACTATCTAGATAATTTAATTATAATATATACTATTTTTAAAATTTGAAATCGTATGTTTTTACTGACCATAATGTTCAAGATGAGATGATCCATTTAAAGGTTTTCCAAACATTGAATTACAATTTTTGATGAAAGTGAGGCTTTACTTATTTTGTTAGAGCTGCAGCCCTATCAAACTATTTTCCAATTTTCAAGGACAAATACAAGAATTATATTTAGAGTTGGTAAAGGGTCCTAATACTATAAAGAGTCATATCAATTGTCTATAACTCTAGAATCTCAAAAGCTTATATACTATCGTGGGAGCAAACTGTATATTTGCTTATAGAAAATTGTTTCATGCAGGCTGCAGTACATTTCTACAATATGCGGTTCAGAGTTATAAAGTATCCATCTCAAAGATGGATGCAAATAGGTGGTGCATCTAAAAACAATTATAACTAACGGCCTAATTTTTTCTTAATATAATTATTATTTTTAGTTTTAAAAATTTATTTATTTATTCATATTTGTGATCTTTATGTTAAAGATTATATATTCTCTAAAAATTAATATCAAATTGTATTGAGAAAATAAATTTATTGCCAATCCTGCATTTCTACAATATGTGGGCTGACCGCATGATAACCGTGTCCTTTACTTATTCAATCAAACTAAACCAAAGTTAAGAGAAATTTTAAGCCCCTAAACATTTCATATCTGACTTATTCCACCACCTTATGCGTACCTTGGAATAGACTGAAAAAATTATGGACACCTCAACATAATGTCCCACCCGCTATTCTACTGTTAATATATCAAAAAATAGAAAAAATATTAATGAATGATTAGACACAAATCTCCTAAGTGTATAGCGTTTAGTATAGAATTTTAGAGAGAGAAACTCTTTGAGAAAATAATTGTGCCTCAAATTTTTTCTTGTGGTGGTTCTTTCATTGAAAGAAAATTGTTTCATGCGGGTTAGACCACAATTCTGCATATGTGGTCGATAAAGTGTAAAGCATCCAACTTAAAGATGGATGCAACTAGGTGTTCCATCTAAAAACATGGAAACTAACGGTCCAAATGTTATCTTACTAGAATTATTATTTCTAGTTTTTAAAATTTATTAATTTATTTATATTCATGATCTCCATTGTATATGTAATGGTAATACAATGGTGTAATATACACTTTTTTCGTTTTTTTGGTTAAATCAGTGGGGAAAGGGCCCCTACCGACCCTTGGTAGGAATTGAGCCTACGACATAGTCAAGCACTAACCAACTAAACTAGGCTCTTTTTTTACACTTTCCTATCTTGCTACATGCAATATACATTCAATTAAGCCAGGCTCTTTTTCTACGCTTTCCTATCTTATTACATGCAATATACTCTTTTATCTTGGTTACATTCTCATCTCAAAACAAAATAGCAATATTGACCTTTCCAATAATTGTAAATTTTGAATTTTGTTTCTATTACTTAGGTTTTATACTAGGAAGTAATAAATTGGATAAATAAGCGCCCAAAATTTGTCTTGCACGCTGACGTTTCTTTCTCTCTTGTTTATGGGTAAGCTGGGCTCAAGTCCATGTCGACAATATGAACTTTCTATTGGCCCCAACATCACGCAAGGAGTGACATACATGACCTCTCTCCACACATGAATTAATGAAATCAAAAGGCGTAACCTATTGCCTTTTTTATGTTATTTGCATCTAAAATTTCAGAAAAAAGATTATTTATAATGTCCTTTATTGTTCTTTAGATCAAAATTGAAATAGCCATCAAATGATATCAAGATGGGGTTTGAAATTTATAAAAGTACTCATTGGGTAAAATGTTAAATAGTTCGTATATTAAGTATATTTTAATAATGTCTCAAAAAATTATGAAATTTACTAAAAAAATTAAGGGGTAAATTATGTCTTCCATTTTTGTTGCCTGCGATCCCCTCTTGTACTACACTTTTGGCCCTACAGCCGATATCATCTTTAAAGCTTATAGAATTTATGCATAGGATTGCACAGTATAAAATTATTCACTTTTGGTACAATGAGGTTAAAATCACTCTTAACCAATAAATGTGAAATCCAATAGTGACAAATCCCTATTTTGGACTTTGTGTCTATTGGGAACAACTTTCATAAAACTGAAGTTTTAAAAAATCAGACAAACAAAGCTGATTTTCTTGGTTCAACTTGGAACTGCTCGGTGACCGGTCTGAATCTCTCACTTAACAGAGCCATTCACTTCTTTTTAGAATGATTTGAGTTTCCTAAACATTGTATAAACTTTTGAACCTAAGTTTGTATTTTTCTGGTTGAAGTCGACTAGTCAATTATGCAAGTTTGGCCAAAAACTTTATTTTTATTTATTTTATTTTTAACACTTATAAAAACAATAAGAAGGCTTCATATTTGGAAAGAGAAATGGCAATCACTAGTGAGAGTAATGGTCCCTCACCTAAAGAAAAGGCGGCAGGTTTTTTTAAAAAATTATATTATCTTTACCAATTCCTCAAAACCAATTTAAAAAAAGAAAAATAAATTAATTTAGAGATCCAAAATTGCACTAAATCTCATATCCCTCCAAGATTAGCTCGAGACTGTCAATTTGAGAGAGAGAGAGAGATGGAACAAATCACTAAAACAACAGATGAGAGTACAACTCCTTTATTGTTCATTATATCTAATGCATAATAGCTCATTAACAACATCATCAAAGTTTTTTTCCAATTATTTTGGGTTGAGGACATGAATTCTGATCCATCAAGAGGCAATATCTATATATAATTTTTCCCTTTAAAAAGGACAAGATCGAGGTGAGTGATAACCACATGTTTGTTAGGGCCCACACACCACCATGTGACGTTTTTTGATATCACAAACTTATAACCATAGTTAACAAAATTGTATTTAAAACATCATTTTCTTTCTTAAAGAGGTGAGGTCCATTTCATTGATAAATGGATATAAACACAGCCATTCCTACTCCTTAAAGTAGGGAAAAAAAGCTTATATAAGCGTAAGGCCCTAAATAATCAAATTAAGGTGCATCTCAAAAGGAAAAGCTTATATAAAGGTAAGACCCTAAACAATAAAATAAAGCCGCATCTCAAAAATTCACTAGAAGAGGTTTTTATGCCCAAAAATTGGCAAATCAATTATCCTCAATAGGTATGGACATGAAAAAAAAATAGATTTCTAGTCTTGGAAATAATACGTCGTGTAATGCGTTTTTTAGACCGTCAATTTTCAAAATTTTCAAGTGTTCATGGATATGCTAGATATACACTATTTTTTAAGTTTTAAGTTTTATAATTACAAATAGAAATAAAGATTTAGGCCATCACAAAGTTTCACAATACTGAAACAATATCTTTCAACAGCATTTGAAGGTGTGTTTTACTTTGATTCTAACAGCCCTTAGCATGAATAGAGGAGCAGAACAAACATTAACTGTCTTGGCATGCAAATAACTTTGAAGAAAAAAGAAAATTCCAAAGTCAATCCATAATTAGTCTACATCAAACATGGGGTGAGAGAATTTGGACTAATATATATTAAACCACCACATAAAATATAACACACAACAACATTAAAATTAACATATTCACGTGGCTCATATCTCAATTGGGGGAACATACTCGCAACAACTACTTTCCTTCTATTTCTTTTTCTTTTTTTTTTCTTCTTTTTTTATTGGAAGCAAGGACTCGAGACAAGAGTAGCTAGGGTTGGGAGCCTAAGTCAGGCAACTTGACTCGGTAGAGTTTGTCAGAGGCCCGACCAATAGTCAAAATACCAATGACACAGCTTGGGAACCAGTGGGACACGGCTGGTTCCCAAGCATCTTGTTTCAAATTCGACAACCTTTTGAGTCTGAGTAACTTAGGTGAGTCCGAGTCAAACTCACCAAGTTTTCCAGTATTGCAATGCATCATTCATGAGCCAGTAGAACCACTTGCTTCCCAACATTTCGACCATAGTAGAGTCCAACGAGAGCCGATGGCGCATTCTCGAGGCCTTCAACAATGTCTTCTGCATAAACTATCTTCCCCTCTTTGATCCTCTGAATTGTGGTTTCAAGAAATTGGGGATACATGTGCCAGTAATCAAACACTGAAAATCCTTTTATATGAATTCTCTTTCCTACAATCAAAGGGAGGTTCTGCACTCCATCACGCTTCTCTTTATTGTATTGAGAGATCATTCCACAAACTGCAACCCGGCCATGCTCTCTCATATTTAAAATAACAGCATCAAGCATGGCACCACCCACATTCTCAAAGTAGATGTCTATGCCTTGAGGAAAGTACCTGATGGGGAGAAAAAATGTAACACGAGAGAGAGAGCGAGAGAGAGAGAGAGAGAGAGTAGTTTTAGTGATGGGAAAGTATACAATAGTCCTTTGGAATATGGAAAAATCCATAATCTTGAGGTTAATCAAGCATTTGATTAATAATTAGTGGTTTGATGGTGATGGAAAGAGCAGAGCATACTAGTAGAGTCAGGCAACTCCTAATCAAAATGATGAGCTTGTGTTGGTAATTCAACACAAGTGCAAGCTTCATACACAGACGAATGGGTTTACACATGAATACTATTTCACCCAGACAGGGATAAAAGTTACGGAATCCAACCTATGTGTAAGGGCTCATTTGGTTTGTATGAAAAAATATTTCACATGAAAGAACTCCCCCATGTCAGGAGGTATGAAGGCTTTTTCACAAGAATTAGTCCATGGCAGAAGTGAACTTTTTTGTTGTGGACCAATTGGTGTGAAGGTTTTTCCACACCCACGACAGAGGTAAACTTTTTTGCCGTGGATCGATTGGAGTGAAAAAACCTTCATACCTCCTGACATGGGGGACTTCTTTCATGTGAAATTTTTTTCATAAAAACTGTCATAAGAACCAAACGAGCCCTATGTGTCAGATTTAGCAACCTAAAATAGGACACATGGAGACATATCTATACAATTTATTTCATAACAGAATAATAAATTTTAAATGTATATATAACAAAAGGTTTATATTTATCAAAATTAAGTGTAATTCATGCAGAGGTGCACCGCAAGAACTTGGCACAAGATGTCTTGGATTCGATCCCAAACCTTATCTTCTAAACAACTTTTAATGTCCCCGGTATCGGAAAGAGTTATTTGGATACAACCCCAATTAAATTAGTAATATGTGAGGATTATACCTTTCCAAAGTGACAACCAAGTCCTGCTCCTCTTTATAGTTGAAAGCTTCATCAAAACCAAACTTTGTCTTCAATAAATCAACCTAGAAGAGCCACGAATTTTCTTGCAATTCAGAATATTGCTTCCATTTAAAATCAAAAGTACAATTTGACATCATCCTTTTTTTTTGGGTAAGTAATTTTACATCATCTATTGATAAAAGAAAGCTTAAAGTGAGAGAGTATAATACCTTTTCTTTAGAACCAACACTTCCAACTACATAGCACCCTACTGATTTAGCATATTGGCCAACAAGTTGACCAACTGCTCCAGATGCTGCTGAGACATATACATATTCACCTTTCTTTGGGGAGCAAACCTCGAAAATTCCGGCATAAGCTGTCATCCCAGGCATTCCTGTACAAAATTACAAGCCATAAAACTCAGAATTCTTGTGTTCCAATATTAAAAGGAAATAAAAGCAAATTCGACGACGGTGGTCAAGGCAGCAGATGCCTAAACATAATATCTAAAGTTCCAATTTCACCAGGTTACAATTTAAAATTCCAAAAAAAAAAAGGATAATTGTACAAAGAAGGTGTCCACACAAATAGCATCTACTACTTTTTCGTGTAATTAAGAAAATGAGTAACTTGTCAAAGAACACCGGAAACGTTAGAAAATCGATTTAGCTGTAAATTCATTATGATATAAGTTACAATAATAAGATGTTGAGACAGACTAGTGTATCCCAGTGATATCTGCATATCAGCCAGCTTTCCTTAATCACGTTGATTTCCCTTAATCAGGCTGATCACCGTTTCCTATTGTGGACTCTTCTATATAGAATGTTATCATGTACATTTCTATAAATCTGTACAAGGGAGCCATAGAAGGGTCATAATAATACAGATTAATTCTTCCTTCGTGGATGTAGGCCTAATCGGCTGAACCACATAAATTCTTGTGTTCCCATTTTCTCTTCCATACAGATTAATTCTCCCTTCTTGGATGTAGGCCTAATCGGCTTAACCACGTAAATTCTTGTGTTCCCATTTTCTCTTCCATACTCTTAACATGGTATCAAAGCGAAGTTGATCCATCATTATTGCTCAGTGACCTCTCCGTTTGAAACAACCAGGGAAGAACTCCCTCTCGCTGTGTGCTAACTCTGCTCTCCGTGTGTTCTACTCTCCTGCTCTTCCTTTATTTTTTCCTTTTTTTTTTTTGATAAAGTTAACTATTTCATTAAATAAGAAAGTAGTATTTACAAGTCTTGGGAGCATCCCATACAAAAATTGGGAGCTACCGTAGCCCTAACGAGGCTAGGTGATCCCTCTACAAAAAAAGCAATAAAAGATAACAATCAAGTACTGTGACAACAAAAAGTTGGTGCAGCCGAACGATGAGGGGGTTTACAAAACACCCTTTTTTACAACGTAAATGCAAGTGGTGAGCAAAAATGGGAGAGAAACTCTGCAGCTAACTTCAAGGAGGTCCAAGACTGTTTGTAAGATCGGCTCCATCAATCGCCATGAGATCTGCGAACTCATTGGACGTCCTAAAGATATGCCTCCATGAGACGTTAATATCCCTGCAAATGAATTCAATCTCATCAAAGATTGAAGCTAAGTACCAAGGTGGTATGGACTTTCCAAAAGCCCAAGAGATAATATTGTATGCGTCCCCTTCAACTATCAAGTGAGATCGGGGTTAAAGAGCTTGAGCCCCATCAACAGTGTCATTACTTCAGCATTGTGAGTCCGTGTGGCCTAGGTGTTCGGCAAATGTGAGTAAAATATTCCTCTCATGATCTCGGAAGACTCCACCGGCACCGGCTGGGCCTGGATTGCCCCTTGAGCAACCGTCAAAATTAAGTTTGATAGTTCCCCTTGATGGTGATTGCCAGTTATTGGGTTTTTGAGTTTTCCGCAGCTAGCAAAATAGGATATTATCCCACTGGCTTAAAAAAAAGTTTGTACGTGTACCAGCGAAGACTTTGTGATTGGTTGCCCAAAAGGTTACCAAGGTCTTGACCTTGTGGAGAAGTGCAGGCCACTGTTGATAGAATCCTTGAAATATCCTATTATTCGTTTCTGTCCAAATAAGCCATATAAGCACAGCAGTGGTAGCCTTCCTAATAATTTTTCCAGTAATCTGTGGTGGTACAATTGAGAGGCACAAAGTTAGGTTGGTTGCAAAAGGGTTTACACAAACTTCTGTTGAAGACTATAAAGAAACTTTCGCACATGTGACCAAAATGAACTCTGTAGAGTTCTTTCAATTGCCAAAAATCAAAACTAGCCCTTGCTCCAACTCGATGTTAAAAATGTTTTTCTTCAAGCTGATTTAGAAGAAGAGGTGTATATGGAAATACCTCATGGACACCCTAAAAAAAATTCAGATCTTGTGTGCAAACTAAAGAGAGCAATATATGACTTAAAACAATCTTGTAAGGCCTGGTATGCCAAGTTAAGCAGTGCCTTATTAAATAACGGTTTTACTAGAAGTGCTGCTGATTATTCTATGTTTATTAAAAGCAATTCCGCCAGCATTGTTGTTGTATTGGTATATGTTGATGACATTATAGTCACTGGGGGCAAGGGATTGATCAACTAAAGAAATATATTGAAAATGTATTTGATAGTAAAGATTTAGGAAAATTAAGGTATTTCCTTGGTATATAAGTTGCTTACTCTAAGAAAGGGTTGTTTCTTTCACAAAGGAATAGGAAAATTAAGGTGTTTCCTTGGTATATAAATCCTTTCTCAATGACTTAAGTTTCAAGTCAGCCACGCCAATACCATTATTTGTGATAACCAAGCCGATCCATATTGCAACTAATCCTGTTTTTCATGAAAGAACTAAACATATTGACGTTGATTGTCATTTTGTCAGGGAGAAGGTTCAAGCCAAGACGATTTGTACTCCTTCTATTATTCGACCTTAACGTACCACTCGTCACCCAAGTAAGTTTCATAATTATTATACCTATAATGCTTCCACCTATCCTATTGAACAATTTGTCGATTACTCTCATATCTCTCAAAATTACTTTTCTTATCTTAGCTCTGTTTCTTCCAATATGGAACCGGCTAACTTCCAAGAGGCTATTTCCAAGTTAGTTTGGAAAAAGGCTATGAAATAAGAACTTCGGGCCCTTGACAAGAACTATACTTGGGAACTTGTCAAGTTACCCAAAGGAAAGAAAATGGTTGGAAATAAATGAGTTTATAAAATCAAGTACAAGAGTGATGGTACAATTGGGAGGCACAAAGTTAGGTTAGTTGCAAAAGGGTTTACACAACTATGGTGAAGACTATAAAGAAACTTTCGCACCTGTGACCAAAATGAACTCTGTAGAGTTCTTTCAATTGCCAAAAATCAAAACTGGCCCTTGCTCCAACTCGATGTTAAAAATGTTTTCTTCAAGGTGATTTAGAAGAAGAGGTGTATATGGAAATACCTCATGGACACCCAAAAAAAAATTCAGATCTTGTGCGCAAACAAAAAGAGCAATATATGGCTTAAAACAATCTCATAAGGCCTGGTATGCCAAGTTAAGCAGTGCCTTATTAAATAACGGTTTTATTAGAAGTGCTGCTGATTATTCTATGTTTATTAAAAGGAATTCCGCCAGCATTGTTGTTGTATTGGTATAGGTTGATGACATTATAGTCCCTAGGAGCCAAATAAAAGGGATTGATCAACTAAAGAAATATCTCGAAATGTATTTGATAGTAAAGATTTAGGAAAATTAAGGTATTTCCTTGGTATATAAGTTGCTTACTCTAAGAAAGGGTTGTTTCTTTCACAAAGGAATAGGAAAATTAAGGTGCATCCTTGGTATATAAATCCTTTCTCAATGACTTAAGTTTCAAGTCAATGAAGCCAATACCATTAATTTGTGATAACCAGGCCGATCCATATTGCAACTAATCCTGTTTTTCATGAAAGAACTAAACATATTGAAGTTGATTGTCATTTTATCAGGGAGAAGGTTCAAACCAAGACGATTTGTACTCCTCATGTTAACAGTGAAAATCAACTTGCAGATATCTTCACTAAAGTTGTTGACAAGGAAAAATTCATCCGTGCTTGACAAGTTGGGCTCGCTCAATCTCTTCGCAGCAACTTGAGGGGGAGCGTTGAGACAGCCTAGTGTATCCCAGTGATATCTGCATATCAGCCAGCTTTCCTTAATCACGTTGATTTCCCTTAATCAGGCTGATCACCGTTTCCTGTTGTGGACTCTTCAATATAGAATATTATCATGTACCATTCTATAAATCTGTAAGAGGGACCCAAAGAAGGGTCATAATAATACATATTAATTCTCCCTTCGTGGATGTAGGCCTAATCGGCTGAACCACGTAAATTCTTGTGTTCGCATTTTCTCTTCCATATTCTTAACATAAGAGAAAATGTAATTGACATATTAGCTAGATAAGACCCACTAAGAGCCTTTTTGCATGGCAATTAATTTTATGTAGAATAGATTATCTTATTTGAAATTAATATACCTACAACATTTGCTAGTTCTTTGTTACATACTTTGTATTATATATAATATTATTTAATAACCATTTTGATATTTTTAGCTATTTTTGGCTAAAGATGCATGATTTTCAGTAAATTACTTTGAAAAAAGGAAACAATAACTTTTAAAAAGATATATGTCATGAGTTTATCCCATTCAACTTAATAAAAGACACTACCAAACCATAGATAATTCATTATCAGAATTAATTTTATTGAAACAATGAATTACTAGTGATAATGGGTACATCAAGACTCACCCTGAAACAATTCACTTATAGGAGAAACTGAAAAAGGAAGGCAAAAATGATAAAAGGTAAAAAAGATAAATACCTAAAATACTAGTGTAGTAAGAAAGAGGTACTTCAATGTGTGTGATTATTTTTAGTCTTTCTGTCCTTGCAATCAAGCTGAACTCTTCCCATCCAGTTATTCCCCAAACCAGGTCACCTTTCTTGAAATCAGGGTGGTCGGAATCAAGGATTTTTGACACCCCAAAACCACTTAGAACCTGTACAAGAATAAAAGTTTAAATTTGACAAATAAGATTATGATAAGTAGTACAAAAATAAAATTATGCATGTACTGAAAGAACATATTATTCCGACTAAAAGCATCGAATGAACATACCATAAGGAATTGAAAAAAAAAAAACAAAGCATAGTATTTCGGGTTTTCTCTTCTTCTTTTTTACCAATGTTACTTGCTACTATTGATATGAATGCAGAAAGTAAATCAGAGAATTAAGACATCAGATACACAACAAGCGATTATTCATACCACTGTAAACATGTGTAAAGGATATCCCCCCATGTCAATTGCAATATCCACAATCCACTATAATAATCTTAAAGTCCAAGGTGGAGTGGATGCATGATTGCACTAATTTGGAGTATTTCATTGCTTAATATTGTATTGGACAGTCTTGCCTTTTAGTATAAAGTTATGTCAACAAAAATAATTGTCATTGGTAATTGGTGGAATAGATATTTCCAAAAAGATATATTCGATTAATGTTCCATAAAAATGATGTTATACTATGTCAAATTGTATGCAGTAACGCAATTTTTACAATAGTTTATAGCAATAATAAGATCGCCTCGGCCAAGCTATTCCGCCAGTTCGAGTGGATTCGGTCAAGTTATATATACCTCTATAAAATGTATAGTAAAAAAAAAAAATCTAAAAACTGCTTAAAATAAAAAAAAGTTAAAAGAGTTAATAGAAATCATCAGAAGACTAAAGAACAGGAAGAAAAAAAAATCTACAAAAGATGGATTATTGAAATTTTTTATTTATATCTTGAATATTTTCAGAAAAAAAATTTAAAAAAAATATGAAAGTTCCCAAAGCATCTTGAAAACTATCAAATTCATCTAAAAGATATTTCTGACCAATATACTGGTATTTTCTTATTTTTATAGTTTTTAACATTCCTTTATATTTTTTAGGAGTTTTTTTAGCAAGTCACATACACATTTATCACATTTGCCCCCAAATATTTTTACCCAAAACAAATCCCGCACTTTTCGCTCACGCTCTCTGTTTTGGGTAACTAACTGCCTCTTTCTATTTATCTACCCCTCTATCTTCCCACCCAAACCTATTACCTCTCTTTTTCTTTCCGTCTCCTTCTCTCTTCCCTCCCAAAGCTTAGCCTCTCTCTCTCAACTTTTGTTCATTTCTTCTTCCTTTGCCAAATCTGGTACTTGGCAGAGATTACTTATGGCCCCTGCACAACACAAACTTGAGGTTGGAGAGTATGACTATATGAGTAGAAAAGAGGGGAGGTTACTATAATTTTTCTGAGATTAAGCGAATGGTGGTAAGCAAGTTTAGAGAGAGAGAATGTTATGGGCCTGAGATTCTCAATTGAGAAAACGATATGGGCCTGAGATTCTTAATTGGAGTCATCTTCTTGCCTGTGGTAGTGAACTTTTTCATTGAAACGCACCATCCCATTTGCAACTATCAATGTTGGGTCTCGATGGAGGATGGATCATCCTTAATCGAGGCTTTCAACCATAAGAGACCTGCTTCATCAGGTTGACATTTTTTAGCCCAAGTGGGAGCCAAGAGTTTCATCAGGTGACATTTTCAACCAATTTTAGAATTAGAATTTTGTTCTTCTTTTAACTGAACTTATGGGTTGCTCTTCTTTTAAACCATAACATTTTCAACCACATGGGTTGCTATTCTTTTAATTGAACTTAGGATTTCTCTAATTGATTTTAGATTTGTATATATTTGAGCTCTCCATTAATGAAAAGATAAGATCGGCGATTCAAAACTCAATCCCACTTAACATGGTATCAGAGTAGTTCGGTTCCTCTTCTCTGTGAATCTCATTATCGGCCTTCCCTAAGGCCAATGTTAGGGTTCCTTTCTCCATCTTTTCCTCCTCTTGCTTAACCCGATAACCACCATTTTCGCCAAATTTTCTAGAACCTTTATTTTCCAGGCCAAATTGCAGCAGCCTTTCTTGAAGTTGCACAAGAGTGACATAATTCTTGGGAAGCGAAAGAGGTTTGGCCTCACCACGGCCGTCGATTGGGCGAATGGTTTCTTCTCGATCGTCGATTCTAGGGTCCTTGCGCGATTTGAAATGGAGCGGATAAAGTTTCTGAAACGGCTGCCATTGTTGTCGTTTCTGGAAACCTCCATTACCAGATGCTGCAGAGCTTGTCTCTGCCTCTCCCTGTATCATGGTTAAAAACCCTTGATATCCTCTCTAGGCTCTCACACTTTCTATTTTCTCCCCGATCTCTCTCTCTCTAGAGTGTATATGAGCTTTTTTTGGGAGATACGCTTTCCTCACAGGGAAGCTCCTCACCATTTCTTCTCCAACAACAAGCAACTCTCTCCTCTCTCTCTCTCTCTCTCTCTCTCTC